ATAAATGAACAATAATGAAATAATGAACACAAATGAATAAATGAACAAATGTCCTTCCTTCACACAGAACCCCCCCCCCGCGCGCGCAAACTCTCATTCTACACAATTGAGTATCCTTAATCCTGAATTCCCTTGCCACTAGCTGCCATTTCTCAAGTGCTTGCACAGACAAGACAACAAGAATGCTGAGACCTAGAGGGGACACCTCCGTATAGCCCGGAAAGTCTGAATTCTGTGCTTTAACAACTTCCTCCCATTCCCCTGACAGGCAAGTGGATTATCCTCACTTTACAGATTATAAAGAGATTGAGATTCAGAAACTTCACAGCTCAGAAGGGTCAGTACGGCGCAGTTACAGGCCTGCTGTGTCACTGTAGGTTCTGGTCACCCCGTCTCTGAAGCTGGGCTGCTCGAGTTACCAGGCCTAGCAAAGGCACGCAGCCTGCGCAACCCTGACACCACCTCGTGTCACCTGTCCACCCCCTCGCCTGGCCCTGGACCCGCTCATCGGGTTCGTGCGCGCCCGTGGCCGCCAGAGGGCGCGCCTACCACGGTTTCTGCTTGGAGGCGAGAGGCGGATCCCTGGGTGAGTGTAAACTTGGACCTCGAGAGACTATGCTCCCAACGCCCTTTACCTTGACAGCGTAACTGATATCATGAGCAAGGAAAACGATGCATCTGTCTCACTCAAACACAGATGCAAAATCCTACACGAAATGCTAGCAGACGGAATGTGGCAATATGTAAAAAGAAGAAGGCATCAGCACCTTGATAGGTTTATCCCAGAAATTCAAGGTGGGTTTAGTATTAGAAAAGCAATCAGAATATATAAATAAAAAAGGAAGATCTGTCAATGAGGTAAGGTATATCATATCAAGAGAAATGTGAGTATCTCAGATGAGAACGAAAAAAATGTTTTTGATAAAATTCAATATCCATTCGTGATTTTAAAGAAAATCAGTAAAAAAGGTGAAGGCATTTTAAAGAATTTTCTTTATGATTTGGAACAAGACTAGATGTGCCCATCTTCACCAGTTCTGTTCCACATTGTCCAAGACTTGAGAGCACAGCAAAGCAACATAAAGATTCAAAAATATAATAACTTGAAAAAAGAAAACTATCAAAACCTCAGAGGTCAGCAATTCTGTCAGATCCAACTTCCCCTTTCTCTAACAAATTAATGCCACGTGCCCTGTCCTGAAATGAAATTCTTAGATAATATAATCTTTCCACAAATATATTTTCAAAAATTCAATATAATTATTTAATTGTAATATAAAATATTAGTAAAAGAAAAATACTTTAATATGAATTTTGATATGTAAATTCTTGAACACAACAAAAAACTCCCTTATAAATTTCCCAATCTCCCCCCAGGGGGCAGTACACCACTGAGAACAATTGGTCTACATAGAAAACCCACCCGAAAGCACACACAAAAATCCTATATACTTACATATATAATTGGTTAAATTAATAAAAAAGTATCAAGTTTTCCAGATACAAAATCAATATACTAAAATCAATTTAATATCTAGATAGTAGTAACTATTCAGGAAAAGTCATTTTTTAAAAGCAGCATTTATAATAGGAGTAAAAAGGTACCTAGGACTAAATCTAAACAATATGCAAAGAAATAATAAAAAATTATTTTCAGATATTATTTTGAACATCTAAATTAATGTGGAGTGATATCATGTTATGAAGCACCACGAGGCCCCTGACTTCCTTGGATCCTCACCCCCAACCAGGGGACAGGGAGTATGATCATCCCATTGGCCAGATGTGGAGACCAAGGCCCAAGTAGGGGAGTGACCTGCCCAAGGTCACACAAGTCTGTTAGACCTGAGCCTTCCGCCTGCCATTCCTGGGCCCTGATCACTGCCCTAGGCACTTGATGTCAACCACACCTGGAGCCCAAAGGCTGCAGCTGCACAAGGCCAGAGATCAGATCTCTGGGTTCCAGAGAGAAGGAGGCAGGTGGCCATTTGGTGACACACACAGCCGTAACATTATTCATGCCCTCAGTGGGAGGAAAACCTCTTCAGCCCCACCCATCTCACTGGCACCTGGGAGCAGGTGCCAGCAGCCCTTTGAGGCAGAAGGTGAGAGGTAAGGCCCCACCCCGATGTCCGACCTAGCCACTCCCTCAAACCCAGAAGAAAAGAACAAATAATGATTATGGTGGAACAGGAAGCTGGAACCTGAAGAGCCCTGAGAGATTTCCTCCTTGCTCCCACACCCAATGGATGGGAAAGTGGGCCCAGAGAGGAGCAGTGACCAGCTCAGCATCACACAGCTGGTCTGTGGCAGACAAGGAGGCCAGGCCTGACCCCACCTCAGAATTCATCCCTGAGGAGGGGATGCGTTTGGTTTGAATGATGAAAACTGTGTTTGTCTGCCCCTGGACCCCTGAATTCAGTCAGGCAGAGCTACATTCACCGGTGCAAAGAATAATGCTGGAGTTTGATCAGAGCCCGTATTGGGGAAGTATTGACTGTGGGAGCACAGAGGACGGGTCCCCAACCTTGTTTGGAGCAGCAGTTTTCAAACTGTGAACTAAGACCCATGGTCATGAAATCAATTCAGAGTCTGAAACCCACATTAAAAAACAGTTCAAGAGAAGAAAATAGAAATACCGAATCACATATAGTAAAGATAGGATCATGATAGAAAATGTAATTCTAATTGTGGTTGTGGTTTTAAAAAAAATGCCAGCAACCTTGTAACAATAAGGTTGCCAGATTCAAGATCAACATACAAAAGCCAATAGCATGTCTCTGTACCAGGCATAACCCACTCAAAAATGTCATTGTTATAAAAGATAACATACGTATGTTCCACATGGAAAATATGGAGCTTACTTTCCAATGGTTCAGAAAAAAGTGTGAATGTATGTGAAAGAGAGAGGGAGAGAGATAAAGCAAATGTGGCAAAATATTAACAACTGATGAATTCAAGTACAAGGTATAAGGGTATTCATCATTCTTACCACTTTTCTCTTGGTTTGGCATTTTAAAAAAATAAAAGGTTGGGAGAAAATACCACTTAGAATAGCAACAAAAATATAAAGAATCTAAAAATTAAGTGAATATACAAGCCTCCATGGAGAAAAAAAAATTAAACTCTAATAAAGAACAGAGACCATGATCTAAATAGAAAGAGTGCATGTTTTTGGATGGAACTACATAATATTATAAAGATGTCAATTCTTCCCAAATTTTTTAATTCAATGCAGTCCTCATCAAAATTTCATTTGAATTTTTTTTTTTAGGAACTCAATAAGCTTATTCTAAAACATAAACAAATAGCTAAGTCACTGTTGAAAATTAAGAGTTAAAAGTGACATTGGCCTTACTCGATTATAACCACAACACCATGATGATCCAAACAGTGTGGCTCTAATGCTGGAACAGACTGAAGGGAGGAGAGAGCTCAGAGGCAGCTTGTGCAGGGGGGAACCTAACCTGTGGGACGGATGTACATATGGAGCTGGTGGTGCGGCTCATTCTATGGAGAAAAGTACTCATACAACTGGGTCCTTACCTAATGCTGCAGTTAAGAATGAACACTTGCTGGGTGACAGCCCTAAATTTGAAACGTAAAACTATAAAAATAACAGGAAGGGCTCTGGTGGGGTGGGTGGGGGCTATGGAGTTCTACAGAACTAGGAAGAGGGAGGAGGCTCAGGTCTGGGTGACAAAAGACTCTCCCAAGTGGAGGGGAAAGGGCTGCCCTGTGAGGAAATGAGCTCCCAGGTGCTACAGGGCGATGTGAGAAGTTGAAAAGCCAGTCAAGGACCCTATAGAAGCGTCTTTTCCCTGGGGGAGAGAAGAGAAAGAGGAGGCGGAAGGGCACACGTGTGGGGGCAGACAGGGCAGCTATGCCGTTTCCTAATTGTGTGACAAGCAGAGCGAGACCTGGCGCCAGAGCTGCCTGGCTTCACCAGGCACTACGTCTTCCCCAGAGTGAGTCTCAGCTTTGCTCCCCAGGAGACTCCACCACTAACTCCAAGAGAGGCAGCATGAGTTTAGGGTCCTGGAAGAGACACAAGCAAGCAAGGGGGGATGCTGAAGAGGGCGGGGCTTCATGGTGGAGACCGGCATGAGCGCTGAGGCCTGATATCAGGATGTGCCTGTGGAGAGGAAAGAAAGCGCTTCAGGCAGGGGCAGGGGCAGATAACATCAACAAGCTCTGAGGGTGGGAGTGCAGAGAGCACTTCAGAGGAACATTGAGGGCCTGGGGAGGCCGCAGCCCAGGGCACAGGCAGTGGAATGGCGTACAGGTAGGGAGTCAGACAGGGCCACAGGCTTGGAACATTGTCCTCTGGGTGGTGGGTCATGGCTGCACAGTCCAGCCTTCTCTGGCTCCATTGCAGGCTCCACAAGGGGCTGGAGCTACACCCAGGGGAGAAACCTCTGGGAAGCCTGGACAGAGGCTGTGAGGTGGTGGAAGACACCCAATTAGTCTGAGAAGTGGATGAAATCTTTAACCCAGACTGGGAGCACTGGTGGGGGAGATGAGTGGGCCTGAGTTTTTCCATCTGCGAAGCAGGCTGATACTGGCCTCCCATTAGCAGACGAGAGCGTGTCGGCCCTGTGGTCCCAGAGCGCTGGAGAGGACGCCCACAGTCCCTGAGCCCCTACTGTGAACCAGGGCTGGTCATTCACAAACCTTCTCAGTCTTGTTCCACAAACATACCCCACCCTGCTGCCATCCTATTACAGCGCCGTAAATTATCAATATGGACCTGGACCCAGCTTTCTCCATCTGACAAGGGCCCTCTTCGCGTCTCCAGGGGTCGGGGTCCGCCCCCTCCACCCCAGAACCTTGGAGATAGTGATGGTGATGGAGATGGAAATGGGGACGCCTCTTCAAGTCCTTTTCCCAGCCCCCGGCCTTAGCCCTTGCTGCACTCACTGTACAGAATGCATGCCCAAAGCTCGGTGGCCTGCACGCTTTCCGCGGGGCTTGCACGGAACCCTCTCGCACCTGCTGACCTGAACTCAGTCCTGGAAAAGGCGCTCCCAGAGATATTCCACAGAGGACAGAGCGAGGTTGGGAGGAAGGGGAAGAGGGAGAACAAGGGCCTGATCGGGCCCAGAGGAGTCGGGCTGAGCCTCGCGGGCCCCCAAATCCCTTCCTATTTCCCAACGAGAACTCTGCAGCCACCTCCCGGCCAGTTAGCCCCACAGAGCGGGGCCAGTTCGCATGCGCAACAATCCTGGCCCTCCCGCTCCACTGGAGACCACGCCTCTATCCTCAAATGGGTGGAGGCCGCGGGGCGGGGCGGGGCG